GAAATGGTATTAACAATGTTTTTTCTTTTTGTAAGAAATGGTATTAACAATGTTTTTCTATGAAATGGTATTAACAATGTATCTGTATGACATGGTATTAACAATGTACTTCTATGACATGGTATTAACAATGTAGACATGGTTTGCAGAGATTTGGTGGAAAAGGAAGGGTTGTGGAGACATGCCCTTGGTTTTCGTGTTTTTTTTTAATACTTAAGTTTGGGTTTTAAAAAAAAAAATCTGGGTTGGGCTTGTTTTGGGTTTTTTTTTGTGTTTTTTGTATTGGGCTTCTTTTAAGTTAGTTAGTGGCAGTCATGTAATTTATAGGAAATTCAACACTCATTTTGTATGTAGTAAATGGTTTTTGGGTATGTTTCTAAAGTGCATTCCATGTAGGTTTTTTTTTATAATTTCAGCTCCTATTTTGGGTATATTACTAAAGCTCCCTAAACTAAACGAGCCCCTTCCTTAGTATGTAATTGAAAAAAAATAAATAAATAAAATGATTTTACTTTGCGCGATACATGCATTATAATAGGACATATCTCCATAAAAAGAATTCAAATTAGATATTAATATAATGAAGGAAATTACAAAATTACAAACAGACGTTCCATCACCCAATAGCCCAAGGAAAGAGTTTGTTGTTTGCTTCTATAATGTGTTTTGTTCCTATTGAAAATTGAAAAAAAAATAGTTTGCTGGATAGGAACAAATATAAAGAAAAATTCATAAATCTGACTACCTTTTCAAATTCTCATGTTCCTCTCCTCTTAGGTCACCATGAATCTCAAAGACAAAGATCAAAAAAGAAAAATTGGGAGCTTTTCAATGAGAGATCGATTCTTAGGGTTACAATATGGGAAAAGAGGGATGAGAGAAACTGGAAATAATGGATGGATTGAAGAGAGATTGGAAAAACCTAGAATTATAAGGTGGTGGATTAAGAGTTTGGTGGATTAAATAGAGAGTATGTTCTTCCATGGAGAAACTTGTAGTAGGCGCTGCATGGAAAAAGAGGAAGTGTGTTGGGGTTTCTTATGGGAAGAAGAATCATGTTTCCTCATTTAATTTCATCGTGTGTTTTTTTTTTTAAGTTGGACGTTGGTATATATATAATATAAAAATAAATTTGGGGTTAAGGGCCATGGCCATGGCCCTTTCGCCCACCCACAAGGTCGGCCTTGGGAGAGGGAGAGAGAGTTAAGAGACAGAGGGATGAGAAATTTCTATTGGGTTTTTCATTTTTAACTTTAAGAATTTTAAATTTTAAATTATTTATAAAAAAATATACATTATATTTTAAATACATGCGACGGTATATTATTGGATATAGGGACTCCACATATGTACCACATCAGCAAACTAATAGAATTTTTTATGGAACCTAATAGCAATGACTATTAGTGAGTAAGTATATTAACCTTGAGGACCACAAATGATACCCAAAAAAAAAAAAAAGATGCAATCTGATAATTTCATGAACCTCAGAGACGTTTTGTGATATAAAGTATTTTTTATTTTATTTTTAAGAGAAGGTATTATTATTGCAAATATGAGTTTGATGAGAATTTAAAATGTTTATTATTTATTTTCTTCAAGAAGATTTTATTATTATTTTTCTCATAACACCTCTGTTTTATTTTAATAAATAAGGGACTGCCATGATTTTTGTGTGTGTATGCTTTTGAAAACAATTTTAGTGAAAGTAGTACGTATTGTTGTTGATATTCCACTAGAACAAGTCCCTCAATTGTTGTATAACAAAGAAATCAAATCATACCGAAATTGGCATAAAACCAGCATAAAACGAAATCAGAAATCCCCACGAAGAATTACACATCGCTTGAAGATCCCACAACGCCCAAAAAAGTACCAAACTTGAAACTTCTAGCCTTTGAGTTTGAGCCACAACATTAAAATCTGAAGAAGAAAAAAAACACACACACATTGATGACCTTGGAAAATAAGCAACTTGCGTAAAGGGTTTTTTTTTCGGTGACCTGTTGGATAAATTTTTTAGTTGGAGCTCAAATCTCGGCAATAATTAGCCAAGCTAGTATTTGCAATGAATCTCCATGTTAAGTAATCATGCATTACATTCTCTAGCAAATATAGCTCTTTAATCATCTCTTAGCATGTATCTACAGTAGCGTTCAAGTAATGCTCTTTGATTTCACATGTATCAATTTGTGCTTTATAAATTGTTTCGGCACAAAATAAGAACTGTCCCTCCATGCATAAATGGTTGGGAATTAACATTCTCATCATCTTTGGTAAAATATAGAGATATTTATAATGAAGTACAAAGATGTATTAACCCTAAATAACATAGAAAATAAATTTAAATTACAATAAGAAATAAATCTCAATTACAATGGAACTAAATAAATAGGTAAGTAACCAAAATCCTAATATAGTAAGGAACATAAATCCTAATTAAATAAGAACTTGCCAACAGTTCCTTATAAAAACACCCCGCTCCCTTGCTTTCTCCTAATTAACCCTCCTAGACCAACTAGCTATTGCATTGCAAGGTCAAATAATAGTCAACCTCCCACGATGGTTGACTATTACATGCCCACGGCGGCATCCGCGTCGGTATGGTTTTCCGCCTACGCCTCCTTTGCTGGGTTCATGATGCTGGTCCGCTCCATGGCCACCGAACTCATGCCCCAACCACTCCGCTCGTACATCTACTCAGTCTTCAATTACCTCTTTGCCCCTTTCTTCTCCCGCGAGGTCACCCTCCTGTTCGACGAGCGCTGCGGCATGACCTATAACGAACTCTACGAGGCCGTAGAGGTCTACCTGCGAACGAAAATTGGCCCCTCCGTGAGGTGCCTCCGCGTCAGCAAATTGCCCCGTATGAAGGCGATCAAAGTGTCGATCGACAGGGACGAGGAAGTCGCTGACACATTCGACGGCGTTAAGATGAAGTGGTGTTACGTGGTGACCAAAGTCGAGAAGCCCCGCAACGGCGGTACGGATGAAAAGGAAAAGGAAAAGCACCGGTTCGAGCTGACTTTCCACAAGAAGCACAAGGACAAAGTGATCGACTACTACTTGCCCTACGTACTGGCTCGGGCCAAAACCCTAAAAGAAGAGCAGAAAACGCTCAAGCTTTTCACTAACCTAGATTATTGGGACGGAGACGACGACGAGGACAATGAAAGCTGGGGCTCCGTAAATCTGGATCACCCGTGCACGTTTGACAAGTTGGCCATGGATCCGGAGCTCAAGAGAATGATCATAGAGGATTTGGAGAGGTTTGTGGCGAGGAGGGAGTTTTATAGCAAGGTGGGGAAGGCTTGGAAGAGAGGCTACTTGTTGTATGGCCCACCTGGCACTGGCAAGTCTAGCTTGGTTGCGGCCATGGCTAATTATCTCAAGTTTAACGTCTATGATTTGGACCTTGCTGCTATTGAAGGCAACTCTGAATTGAAGAGGGTCATGATGTCCACTACAAATCGTTCTATTTTGGTCATTGAAGATATTGATTGCAGCATTAACTTGCAAAACCGGGATGATGATCAGGACAAGTCTAGTAAAGAAACGAATTCTTATAAAAAGGTCAGCAGTTTGGCTACTTTTATTTTTCCTTCGTTTTGTTTTTTTATCTGATCCAACTTTTTATAAAAAAATTTCCCTGTGTTCATTAAAATTAATTAATTTTTGGATGATAATTAATGGCAGCCATTGACACTCTCGGGCCTATTGAACTGCATAGATGGTTTGCGGTCAAGCTGCGGTGACGAAAGAATCATAATCTTCACCACCAACCGCAAGGAAATGCTTGACCCTGCCTTGCTGCGTCCTGGTCGAATGGACGTCCACATCCACATGTCCTATTGCACTCCAAGCGGGTTCAGGGTCCTGGCCTCTAACTACCTTGGTATTCACGACGGTGAAGATCACCGACTGTTTGGAGAAATCGAACGGTTGATAGAGAGCACAGAGGTCACTCCTGCACAGGTTGCGGAAGAGCTCATGAAGAGTGACGACGCTGATGTGTCGCTTGGAGGACTTGTCAATTTCCTCAAACATAACCAGGCCGAGAGGGAGAGAAAAAGGGAGGAAAAAGAGGCTAAGGAAAAGAAGCAGAATAAATCTACTAGGTTTTCTCTTTTGAAGAAACGTTTGAAAATATTTTCAACGAACGCCTGAAAGTATTTTGATGAAACCCGTTTAGGAATAATTGGTTGTTTTTCAGCCATACATTGTTACATTGTTTTTCTTTAGGGAATGTTACATTGTTTAGGATATCTGTTATTATTATTTATTTTGCAATTGACTAAAAATAAGTATAGGGTAATGCAATGGGGCCCACCTCTATTAGAGAGGTGGTACAAATGTGGTATGAAAAATGTGGTAAACCTGGCATTTTCCTAATATATAAGTTGTATAAAGGTGCAGACATGGTCAAGACAGTCAGCCTGCGCTCCCCTTGCATCAGATTTCTCTCCATATGCAGATTGTATTAATTTAAAGTAATTTTAGACTATCGCTTTTATTGTAAAAAAAAATAGATAAAGGTACCCATTCTTATGTAAATAATAAATATCTTTGCAATTGGAAACAGACAGTTCCTCCTCCCAATGGCTTTTGCAATTTTCTTGTGCCCAAAGAAACATTAACCAGACTGTTGCTTACGTAATCAAAGTCAACGTCAGTCAAAGTCATGACTGACTTTGAGCTTTGCAAGCTAAGCAACTACCCTGCATTAATGAACAAAAGATTCTCCTTGCACCTCAAGTTGTGGCTCATTATAAATCTCACCTCACTTGCTATCCTATTAGTTCCCAACCCTTTGGGACTTGAATTATAGGGCAACACAAATGTTTTCTCTCAACAATGTCATGCCGGAAACGGCGTCGTCTATGTTCTCAGCCTATGCCTCCTTTGCAACCTTCATGATGGTCTTCCGTTCCATGGCCAAGGACTTCATCCCGGACCCTCTCCGCACCTATATTTCCTCCTCACTCAGTTACCTTTTTAGCCCTCTCTCCGGCCTCTTCTCTTTTTACCTCACTCTCGCCTTCTACGAGTACTCCGACATGTCCCGCAACCAAGTCTACGACGCCGCCGCGGTCTACCTCGAGAAAAAGATCGGCCCCGCCACGCAGCGTCTCCGCGTCAGCAAAACGCCCCGGAAGAAGTCCATGGGCGTCGCCAACGACAGAGACGAGGAAGTCATCGACACGTTCGACAACATCAAGCTCAAGTGGAGGCTCGTCACCGAAACAAAGACCGGGAACAACAACAGGCTGCGCTACTTTGAGCTGTCGTTCCGCAAGAAACACAAGGAAAGAGTGATGGGCAGCTACTTTGTAGAATAAATCAAAAACTCACGGCAGCTAACTCAAGACAAGCAAACCAAATAACACAGCAAGCAAGTAAAAACTCACAGACACGGAAGAGAATAGAAGGAAGAAGACTCAAGCTGGAAACTCAGAGAGAATATGGAAGAAAGGCTTAACCCGTCTGATGAGTTCACATTCAATAATAATAGTATTTTTACTACAACATTCTCATTACAAAACTAGAGAGCTCCAACAACTGACAGCATGGGTGAAATAACAGTAGCTCATTGAGCCAATAAACAAAATATACCACCCGACAGCATGCTCTCATGCTTTTACAAATAATAGATAAAGTAGCTTTGGATTCCTGCTTGGTTTAACTTTCAACAGCCTCCCTTAAACCAAGCTCATCATAACTCTGCATTCCCATCATCTTCTTCAGCTTCATGAACGCATCCATCCTGAGACCCTTTGTAAATATATCTGCAATCTGTTCTCCAGTTGGACAATATTGGACTTCAACCACCTTGTCATTTACCAAATCACGAATGTAGTGGAACTTCACAGGTATATGTTTAGTCCTCCCATGAAAAACAGGATTCCTTGCCAATGCAATTGCTGAATTATTGTCACAATAAATTGTTGTGGGGCTCTTCTGTTCATGATGAAGATCACCAAGTAATTGGCGCAACCATACTGCCTGTGTAGCAGAATTTGTGGCTGCAATATACTCTGCTTCAGTAGATGAAAGGGCCACAACTTGCTGCTTCTTTGATGACCAAGAAATTATTCCATAACCAATATGAAATGCATAGCCTGAAGTACTTTTTGCACTATCAACATCACCAGCCCAGTCACTGTCCGTGTATCCTTCAAGCTTCACATGACAATTAGCTTAATAGAAAATACCATCACTTTGAGTTCCTTTGACATATCTCAGAATTCTTTTTGCTGCCTGCATATGT